CCTACAATAAGCACATACTGGGTTTATCTACTTCTCCATCTTCAACCCATATGAGCCTTTACTAACAAAGTCTTGTTAATTGAGAAGTCTCAATGGCATTGTTTTCACATACATGTATACGTGTGTGCACGTGCAACACACATACATGTATTCATATGAGTTATCAAAACACTATTATAAAGCAAACGTTCTCTTTCAACATCTCTTCTCTGCCCTCCCCACCTCCCTCCCTTTCCCCAGTGTATTATTTCAAAAGAGATTGGAATTTAAAACTTCCAAGAGCCATCCAGCTCTTGTTAGCACTGCAAATGTCTGGGTGCATTAACGAGTCCCTGGTCCACTTCTAGGACACGTGTTGACGAACGGCCTGTAGTTCACAATACTGATTCCTTGGATTCAGGGTCTGCTGTACTGGTAGTGTTGGAGACTGGGTTTTTGTGGGTTACCAAAGGTGATGTTTCCCCTTCAGCCTTGCTGTTAGCAACTGCTTCCACGTGGACTTCCTTGAGCTCCTGCTCTTTTTCTTTCTTTTCCTTTTGGTTCAGGTAATTAAGGATGCCTGCTCCTAGGGCATCCCCTTCCACATTCACAACTGTGGTGGTTCGGTCCCTGGTTAAAATCAGAAACAGAAAACAAAACAGCAGGCTTTTAGCTTAAGAGAGTTACAACACAGTAAGGGCAGCCGATGCACCCCTGCTGATCCACTAACTCCAGTGGAGTTAGACAAGGGAGATGATGTTAACGTAGGTATTTTCCACAGCGCGGTCATTGACTAAAAGGTCGGCCCAACTGGCTCTGGCTTCTCAGTGGGTTGCACTAATGGTACAGCTCTTTCTCAGGCATTCATCTTTACTCAGCCCACATTCCTCTTCCCCTTCCCCGAGCCAGCATTTCTCAAATGCTAGTTCAGAGCAGGAACTTAATTCGGGCTTATCCAATGGGTGATTCAGAGCACCCAGCTCTTTTTTAACTATAGAGACTCGTACCTTAACTCAAACATCTACTTACGAGGTCCTTCCAAAACCAAGCAGAATGTCTGTGTTCTCTGGATTTTTTGCTAGTAGCACTTGTCCTAATCTTTGGTCCTACAGCACAAAACTACTGTCCCAGGAGGAGGAGATTAATGGGTAATAAAGAAAAACAATTTATTCGTGTGCCTTTTGAGATTTCTGTTAGTCATTCTGCAGCCTAACTTCAGCATGTGCTCAATTTGCACCTATGGTCCTCTCTGGTAATTAAATGGCTGGTATGAAAACAAGAGACAGGACTCTTCCCTCCCTCCTTCTCCTTTTTGTTACCACAAGGCTGAGTTCCTTGACTAGAACAGCAGTGTTGACCACAGAGGAATGCTACATATTCTGAAGCTAAGGTAGCCAGTGTGACACAGGCAGCCCAGAGTGAAAGGAAGGACAAGTTTTTCCCTCTTGCCTCAAAGCACTTGCAAGTACAGCTTGTGGAACACACAGTTACTACTGTCATCCTTTAGGAAGATGGGTTACAAAGAGCTAGCCACTGCTTTGCCTGTCCTTTGGAGGTGGCTAATCCCCAAGAGGTGGCAGCAAAAAAGAGCTGAATGGCTCTAATGAAAACACAGGAATATGATTATGTCCCACAGATGTGTGGTGTGGGAAGGAGGCAATAGAGCTGCCCCTTCCTCAGCCTCCAGAGTTCAAGACTGTCCTTGGGCATCCTAATTTCCACATCTGTTGCAGAAAACACCACCTACAGAGAGAGAATGGTGTGTTCAGAAAGCAATGCAGAGGGATTGTGTACAGCCTTACCCAGGAACTGTCCTGAACCTGTCAACTGGAAAAAACTCCAATGGGATTCAGATTGCTTGACCCAACCTGACCAATGATTTCAGCCCTCTACCCAATTTCAACCAGATGGCTTGAAAGCAGATTATGTTTTAAAATTATCAAATTATGCTTACTTCACTAGCATTTAAACTCTAAGCATGCTTTAACTCAAGAGTACTCAGATGTTTGTTTGAGGAGAAGCAGAAGCACCTTTTACCATGGGGTCCATCTAAGCTATAAGAAATCATCTGCATGTCACATTTACACTTATCATGTGGAGGTTCCCCAATACTTAGAACAAAACAAATTTTCTAGGCTTTCCTTAATCTAATTTAGGTAGTACAGAAATTAAATGTAGGCCTTAACAAGGACATAGCTATGCTAAGTGGAAAGATAAGCTCTTCCAAACAGAGCTGGGCAAGTAGATAATCTCTCATGGTTCAAAGAGGGGAATGGCTCTTGGAAAGAAGAGCAGAAGCTGAGCGAAGGTCGGCTCTTTTAGCTCCTTCCCTGGAGTTGGAAACATGGTATTAGTGTGTACTACATTTGTGACTCCCAGCAGCATGTTCCAGCTGTGACACTGCCCCACAGCTGGATGAGTGCCACAAGCCCTCTGTGTCCCTGCCCTGCCAGTGGATGGCACCTCTCTGTGACACTTGTGTTGGTGCTTGGGCCAGTCTTGAACTACAAAAATATTTCAAACAAGAGCTGACAACAGCTTCTGATGGAGACTGTTTCACACATGTGCCCAAGAAAGTTTTTCACCACTACTCAGACTCCACTTTCTTCCCCACCTGTGTCCAACTGATTTCCAGCAATATCAACACTTTCTTGAAGAAACTTTAAACAATCCTTCCAAAGGGAACCGAAACCAGGAAGATGTATGTTTCAATAAAGGCTGAGTAAGAAAGCTGAAGAGGGATTTTAGCACACTTACTGCTTTAATCAAGGAGGGACCACCTTTTTCATCATTTGCCAATAGTTACCTGTCCCGTAGGCAGCCGCATCTTGTAGGGTTTCATTTTATACTGTGCTACACTCACTACCCTGCCCCGTCTTCCCAGCTGCACATCCTACATGTCACACAGCAGCAGAGAGGTGCGGCCTAAAGAACTTACACAATCCAGTCCACGGCTAATATCAAGGACAGGTCGTTGGTGGGAAGCCCAATGGCCTCCAAGATGATGGCGATGGTGAGGACTCCTCCGGCGGGGATCCCGGCGGCGCCCACGCTGGAGGCTGTGGCTGTCACACTGCAAACACACGTGCACACCCGGTTAGCAGGGGCCCTGCAGCACTCACTCCTCTCCTGCACTTGGGTCACTGTAAACAAACTCTCCAGCATGGGACATGGAGATCACTTGCTTCCCAGGCAAACCCCTTTCCTGCCTGCTGATGTGAAGTAATGGGCACAAAGCACAATTGCTCAGCAGGCATCTGCAGCAGCTTTCAAGGCAATGGCTCTGGATTTAATACCATAATTGCCTTTTCAGGAAAAAAATACCCCACAATGTAACCAACACAGCTATATCCTGCTGCTTTACTAATATAACCTTTCCCAAGTCATGTATCAGCTCCAATATGCTGAGTACATTACATGTCCTGGCCTCAAATGCAAAAAGGTAAACCCTGCCATGCAGGGTATCATCTCTTTTCTGTGTCTTTTTTTTTGCATTTAAATACAGACCCTAAATCAGGAGCTGGAAACCTGCAGTCCATGTGCTATAGATGTGGACAACACACCTTTTCATGTACAGATGTCTACAACTGAGTTTTCCTCAGGCTATCACTGCATTATCCTCAGGCCTGTATTAATACCTGATTCACTAAGAGTACCTGAAAGGTTAATCCAAAAAGTAAATAATGCCCCAGTCCTGCCTTAACTAGACAAACAATATTCTGGGAAAATGCAATAAGGAAGGAAGTAAAACCTGGTCAGGGAGGGTAAAAAAAAATGCCAGGAACAGGCCCTAGGAGGCATCTGATGGATATAGCTACGGCTTCTCAGCACAGTAGGAGCTAGAACTCCCTGTAGGATCCTCACCTAAAGGCTTTTGAGGAAGGAAATGAAGAGAATGACACTTCATGGAATATGGGATGTATGAGGATATTCCAGGCATGGAGGGGAGAGAGTCTTAGAGAAACAGGCAGGACTGAGGTAGTGGAGGGAACAATAAAACAAAGCAGTCAGGAAGGAAATTATAATGGATCTGTCCCAGGAATCCAGTGACAGAGTAGAGAGGTAAGCAGAAACAGAGTCTTTAGCATGAAATTGATATATAAGGAACTGAGGAGCTTGCAGGAGGATCTTCTAAGACATCCAGAGGGGAATCAGGGGCAGCTTTTTGGGTATAGCAGCATGCCTCAATTACCCAGCTTAATGGTGAGTGGAGGGTGGGGGAGTGAGATGCTTAAGGAAGCAGAGGAATTTCATGTGCAAAACAGTTTTAAACAGCTCAAAGTCTGTTTCAGAATTAAATTGCCCCTCCCAGGTTCCACCTTTTATTAAATCGAGATCCTGGCAAATCTTATAAAGCTTGAAAGACTCCATCCTTTAATCACCCTATAATTATGTTTCATAGCAGTTTGCGAGCTTTAGGTCAGAGATGTGGAATGCAAACTGCCAGCTATTAGCAGAGAGACCACAGGCTTGAATGTGTCTGGGGGCCAGAGGATGTGGTTGCAATAGCAAGCAACTTACAGAATCGTGAAGATTTGCCCAGGATTGAGGTCGACATTGTTTAGCTGAGCAATAAACACAGCTGCCATGCACTGAAAAATAGCAGCTCCATCCATGTTTACAGTGGCCCCGATAGGAAGGATAAACCTGCTGATTCTCTTGTCAACTCCATTGTTCTCCTCAATACACTTGATCATCGATGGGAGGGTGGCTGAGCTAGAGACAGGAAAAAATCAAACACAAAGCATTAGGGTGCACTGAGTGGAAAGTCTCCGTCTCATGGCTTTCATGTTTCCAACAAGCTGAAGACAGGACGAGACAACAATGCCATTTTGTAGTCCCACTCTGTCATGATAGCGAAGAGAGACCCTCCTTGTTGGTCTTGAGCAGCAGTATTTAATAATCTGCTTCCATCCAGAAATAGCCGATAAGGATTTTAATCTTCCAGAAGCAAGAACTCATGACTTAACACAGCCTAACAGGGCTGTGGAATGATCAAGCATCAAAGCACAAAAACACACCAACAGATGCCAATATAAATACAACAGATGCAACTACCTTCTCAAATGAAATAATAATAACAATAACAACAACAAAAATAAAATCACTGTTGGATTTATTCCTTGCATTAGAAATTACATAAGTTTATTCATAAACCCTCTCCTACTTCATGTACTTCAGCTCCTGTGACAGACATGAGTCTGCTTGAGGGAATGACCTGAAACTATTTTATATAGCTATGATCTTTGATCAGGTGTTTGCCCCTTGAGAAAAGTGTAAATGACATGCTTGATAGTTTGGTTATGACAAATAAATGCTGACCAGGTCAGATCTTTGAAATCAGTAATGTCAAGTCCCTTTACAGTAGTTAATAAGTCTGCTATGCTCCTGCAAAATTAGTCTAAACTTTTTTGAGATGCTTCTGAACTTGAAGAACTAAACTTCTCAGGACAAAGTCCCTCATTACTGACCATCAAATCACTTAAAATTGAAGGAACAGCTGGCAGGATCATTTTAAGCAAATACTTCTTACCTTTTCCCCCAAAATTCCAACTCAGCATCATGCTACAGTCTCAATACTCTGATGAAATGTTTTCAACAGCTAATTATCAGTATGTGCTGTGTGGCAGGCTGCTGACAGCAGTTAAGACTCTCTACACTCAGAATTCATTTATTTATTGCAATCTCAGGAACAATACTCGCACCTCAAACTCAACACAGTTTGGTGTTGGGATATAACCAGTTTATACTGACAAATAGGAACAGGCTACAATCCCAAAGGAAGCACAGAAACCCACCTGGAGCAAGTGGCAAAAGCAGTGGCAAATGGTGTGATAAGTCCTAAGAGAAAACGATACGGATTTTGACGTGTGGATGCAAAATAAATAAGTGGCAGAATGATTCCTCCATGGATGAAGTGGCCCAAAATAGAGGCAAAGATGTATTTTCCCAGACTGGTCACCAGAAGCACAATATCTTCCATTTCCACAATCTTGCTCCCAACAAGGAACATAATGCCAATAGGTACATACCTGTGTAAAGAAATATTGCCTGTCATTCAGTGCAAACAAAAAGCCTTGAAAAACATGCCATTTTCCATCCTGGAGACAACACTCTTCTAAAGAAAATGCTGCTCTTACTGAAGGGTAGCACTTTATTCACCACACACCCAGGTTAAGCAAATTTGGAAGGCCTCTCTAACACTCTTGCTTGGTGGAAGGCAAGCAGTCAAACTGAAAATCTGTCCACCTAAGCCCTCAGAGACAGAGTGAGGAGAGTGCTGAAGGGAAGCCGAGCAGGATGCAGAAATGCTGGCAGACGCTATCAGGAAAAGATACTGGTGTGGAGTTTCAGTCCATCAGGGAGGAAGGCAGGCAAAGACCAAAAGCTGAAGTCTCTGCTGAAGGGATGGCAGACAGTAGGACAGAAAAAGGAGCAGTGCCATGTCACTGGAGCAAGGAAAGGGGTGGAAAAGTTGGATCTCAAGACATGCAGTGACTACCAGCAAAAGTATGACGTTAGGTCATTCAAATGGTAGACATTCTGGATGCCAATATATTCCCCTGTAGGAAAGGAACAGCTATGCCCATACCAGACAGCTCAGATAAAGGCTGCTGAAGCACGTGCCAAAGACAGCAATTAAATCTGCTATTTGCCTACAAAAGACTATGTTAAATGATCAGGTTTCTGGAGCTTTTCTCAAGCCAACAGCCACGTCTACATTCCCTGGCCTCCTATCTAGGAACATGCCACGTCTCAATACGTCAGCATTTGTTTGAAGTTTCCTTCGTCAGGAACACCTGGAGCTACTCCAGAGGAAGGGCCACCTGTGGGCCAGAGCCACACCTCTGGTCTCAGTAGTGCAGCTGGGAACAGCCCTGGAAAGACAGAATTGCCCTTGCACCTATAGAACAACAGCTACTAAATGAACGGTAGGAATCCCTTCAGGCCCCAGGATCAGTTCCTCTGAAGCTCTACTTTGGATGTCTGTGTCTGAGTACCTCTGCTGATGCTGTCCCTTAATTTCTTCCTCTAAAATGAAGAAATACTGAAAGATCACCCTGATGCAGGCATGCATGTAACTATAAAAGATCTGCCTGCACATCTCAGGAGTAAAGAATGCTTTTTCTTCCACTCTTCCCTCCGATCCAATGCCCACGTTGAGAGAAGCTGATCTGTGGAGTCAGGACAAACTTCAGTTTTGGTTAAGCATGCAACAGTTTGGAAAAAGGGGCAAGCCTTTAGGTTGTCCAGATCACTCACTTCTTCCTACCCTGACACTCCCCTCAGGGGTTCTGCAGCTCCTCTGTTCTGTGCAGAGAACACCTCCTAATACCTCTGCCAATACCTCTGCCTCTGCAATTCTGTGACATCCTGCCTTTAAACTACCCTTTTGAGCACCCCGACTAGCCAGATCTAGCTGAGCCCTGGTCCTGCACAAGCTCTGCAAGCAGGAACACTGGATTCAGAGCTGAGACTAGATCCCTGCCCTTGAAGAGGGAGACTGCAGAGGGAGGAACTGAAAGTTGAGACCAAAGGGCTGCTGAACACAAGTGGCTGTTGAATGGGACCAGGTATGAGTTTCAGCCATTCCAAAGTATCCTTTGGGAAGTACATGTGGCTTAACAGATTTTGAATAAATACCAAGACAACACGAGAGCTTTAAGGAAGGAAAGAGAACAAGTAAGGGCTACGGTGCACTGCAGTGTTAAAGAGTCAGCTGTGGTTCTGATAATCCACAAAGGATTATATACCAACTGATTGGCTTGAAGTGTTAGCACTGTAATCAGCTGAATACAAGAACTGCCTCTTATCAGTATTCAGTGTCCCAGGAATTACACTCAAGAGTAAAAGAGTTAAGCTGGTTTGAGACTTTGAAATTTTCAATCCCTTATGACAGCACCTAACACAGAAATCTGTCTGTATAAAATCAGGTGTTTTGTTAAAACCTTTCTGCTTCTTAGAGGGAGGAAAATAGTAGGAATGAAAAATGCAGAATGAAGGGAGAAAAAATACTTTTAAGGTAAGCTTATAGCTTTTTCCACAGCTTTGGAAAGAGAGTGAGAAATGTTCCACTGTTAATTTGTTAGCTAGCTGTCCTCATGAATATTTTTATTTTTGTGTGTAAGATACTGCTGGTTTCACAGGAGTTTCTTGCCTAGTGAGAAAATTCAGCACACTTCACCTCCTAGCATACAGATTTTTTTGGTGCCAAAAGCTTTGTGAGATCAGTCAGATTGACTTTCACCCCATAAATATGTCTTGACTCTACAGAAGAAAGTGAAATAATGGATGTGCTCATTAACAGGTAGGAGACCAAATTAAAAAAAAAATCAACCTTAGTAAATTCCTGCTTTTAGGGATGTGAAATGGAAAAGAGATGCACCTCTGGGAAGCAAACACAAACAAGAAAGAGCTGATCCCTTTGAAGAGTTTCAGACTGATACCCTAAGCTACGTGTGATTGTCTAATTACTGGGCACAAGCAAAGAAAAAAGACGCCGCAAGATTCACTTTTGCTGAGATGAGAGATCTGGTAGGAAAAAGCTGGAGAGGTGGATAAATGGTGAGATTCCTGAGCAGAGCATAAGATTGTACTGCAGATGTACCTGCAGACACACACTTACCACATAATCCAGGAAACCAAGACCATAGTTGCCTCATTGAATGAATTAAAGAAGCGAATCAGATCTTCCCCTTCCTGGCCAAGCTTTTTCAGTGCTACTCCTAAAACCAGAGCGAACAGCACCAGTCCCAGGATATTCATCCCTTCAATCTCAGTACCAACAGGGATCTGTAGAGGCAAAAATGTAAAACCTGTTAGATGTGAGACCAGCACAAAACCCAACAAAAGGATCATCTCATTTCTCTGCTGGGAGAAATCAACAAACAGAACCTATTTCATGAAAATTGTTGAAAAGAACCGAAAAAAAATCTGGACACGGTCCAGATACAAACCTCCCTAGTTATGAGCTGGCATGGACTCACTGGAGAAGTGAAAGGGCCTGCCACCACCTCCTCTCATGTCCTTCCATATGATATGTGTGCCTTCAGTGACCCAAACAAGAAACTTCCCCAGTTTGCTCAGGACAAGCTCTGCTGCAGATGTGAAACAGCACAGGTGCCAATCACACATGTGCTGTTAAAAGACTGACACTTCCCTCCCTGTTTCCCTGTAAGGGAAGATGAGTGTGAGAGAGATGGCAGGTGTAAATGGCAGAGACTGGTGATACTGACTTCCTAGCTCGCTTACTCTACCAAGCATCACTCACTTGGCACTATGACAATCTACAGTCTAAACAAATCATACCTGCAAGAGGCTTGCAGCAGTCTGGCCCCAAATATGTTTTTATTTCCTCACACTTCTGATGGGAATCTGCTCTCAGAAGCTGCCAGTTCCATCACTTCAGTGTAATGTTTTTACCAACATGAAAACCATGAGAAAACTACCAGTGTTATGAAGTAGAAAGGGGAGAGAGGGGCAGAGAAAGGTATCAAAGCATAGACACCTACTCATTCATCTGTCCAAGTCAGCTGTGGGGGGACAGAAATAACAGAAGAAACACCTGTTCCCCTTCTCAGAAATCATGTGGCTGCAGGGTAACAGTAAGAGGATAAAAGCAGGATCCACCTATTGACAAAAACTAGTCTACTCACCAGTCTGCTCTGCCAGTTCTTCACGGCTTTTTTCTCAAAGAGAGCTGGAGCTTGTTTGGCAGTGCAGTATCATATGAACTGAATGAGTGTTCTTGTGGCTACGTAAAAATATAATTGTTTTGACAAACTGCTTTTCCCTCCCTGAACTTGGCAGTACAGGCTCAATATGTCAAATTGTTGTTTTATTTGGAAGGGCTTCTAAAAACAGATTAGGTTTGTGTACAAGTTTTGGCCTTCTGGCTAGTTTAAGTAGACACTAGCTCAACACTAGGAAAGAAAAATATATCCTGAGCTAAAAGCTTGAAATGAGTATTGACGGAAGAACTCTGGATACTGATCTGCTAAATCTGATAAAATCAGCCTGCTCAAGATTATATTTGTGCTGGAAGTTTACTGTAGAACTGGACTGTTCCTTAGTGGAAACTAAGTAACACAGAGGAGGGGATGAAATATAAATTATACACAAAAGCAAAAAGGCTAAACTGCTATTAACAAGTGTTTACAAACAATGAAAGTTCTGGCTTTTTTTATTTGCAAAATCAGATCTAGGAGCTGCCATTTTTTTATGACAGTTGCTTGTTCAAGGCTAAGTTGTCAGTATTTATTGGATTTCCAGTTGAAAGAACTGAAAACATGGGCAGGATTTTATTAATGGGGTGCAGTGTATCTCCAGAGATGTCTGAAAAAATGTGCTGTTTTCTCCACACAGAGTAACACTTTCCTGTCTACACTGTTTTGTCTATATTCTGTTTTGTGTGCCTGAAAGCTCTAAACTCTTCTGTGGTTAGAAAAGTTAGATTAAAAAAATATTACACCCTCCTATTAATTGAATAAACTGCTTGTGTACATGGCATGCTCACATATTCCTATTTTTCACTTCTGTTGGTAAAATGTAACTCCAGAGTAGAAGATAAGGTTTACCATAAGGCTGAAGAGAATATAACAACATGGAGTTTAGTCTTCTTCCACCTTCAGAGATGTCTCTCTCCACCTTGCTCCCAGCATTGTGATCACTGCTGCTGCTTCTCCAAGTTCTCACACTTCAAGTATCCTTCACTTCAAGTCCTTCTTCCCTTCAAGACCTCCAAGCCTAGATCTTGTGACCTCGATCTGCAGACCCCTGAATTATTTGTGACCATAGGGAGCACATTCACCAAAAACTTCTGAACTGTTTCCCTCTACTCACTGTCATCCTGCCACCTCTTTCAGGTCTTACTCTCTTTCTCCCTCGTGAGCCATTTCTTCACAACACGAAACAGTCACCACCACCTCCTGTCACCACAGATGTAGGCAGAAGGTGCATCATTCACACATGGTAGTAACTTACTGCAAGAAATCGCTCCCTGAAAATCAAGGGGACAATCTGCAGCATTCAGGGAATTTCACCTCCTTGCAGCACAATATGGAAAGAGTCCAGCAGTAAATCCTCAGCGGAAGATCCTCTCAGTCCCAGCCTCTACAATTGGCAGATGCTGAACGGCTTTTTTTGTGCTCTAACAGAAGAGTGCATCACCCCAAAGGAGCTGCCAAACAAGCAGCATGGTGGACAGCAAACAGAAACAGTTTTAATGAGAGCTTTGTTCCTGGATAAGCCATGGAATGCATTATTGTTTGCCTGAAATTCTGTGTTCTGGTGGGAAGATTCATGGAGCTCTTCTGGTGCTTGAATCTCTCTGAAGATTCCTATTGTTTTGTGGCTCTTAAAAAAAAATGCTTATCAAGGAAACAACTGCTAACATTGAGCTGTCCCACTAGTAAGTGGTTGAAAAGAAAATGTAGCCATGTGATGGGAGGAAGAAGAGCAATTACTGGTTTGTGTATTTTCACTGCTGTCACAAGAGGAACTCAGAGTCCCTCACAGCCTCCCTGTGATGCAGATGGGGAACTGAGATAGCCAGTGCCCCAGGAAGCCTTGCTGCTGAACACAGAGAGGATGTAGCTATAAAAGCTAGGTAAACACGAGGAAGCGTGTGAAACAGCAAAAAGGACACGGCTGGGCAGACATCTACATGCCCCTCTCTTCATATCATCAGCAAGAGAAGATGGGGCCTATGAGCCAGTGGTGGGGAAAAAACACAATCAGTGGAAAATTCTGCTCTACACTACTCGTATGGAAAGTAGAAGGAAAGCATTTCTCCTCTTCAATCAAATATTCTGCTGATAAAAGAAAACATTAGATAGGAATATAATCTTGATTCTCTAGAACTCAACTTCTATCACTGTGATATTTATACTATATATTATCCAAAAATCATATGCTTCCTTTCCAAACTTAATCCCCATCTATCCATAAATAATATGGTCAGACCAATACTGAAACTGAGCTAACAAAACTGAGATGATGCTTCCTTTTCATTCTGTCTGCTCTTCTCCAGAGACAGTAGGGCGTCTTCTGGAATTGAAGTTCAACTCTGGTTGTGCTCCAACAACTGGAGAAAAGTTTTGGAAAAGTAGTAGCAGAAATAACCTTTACATCATAACCGCTGGCAAAAACAGGCATAGGTGATGAAGTCAGGGTATTTTTTCTGATATTGAATCAAACAGGAGTCTGATAAGTGAGAAAAGGAAAGAAGAAAACTGAAAAAGATTCTCCCATTGCAACTTGCCAAAAGATGTATTCTTATCTGTTGAGGAAGAGTGATGGCCTTGAACAAACATTAAAAAAGTACTTGACAGCCAAGCCTAAGTCCAGTGGATATGGCTGGTCCTGATTTGTGCTTGGTTGCCAAGGAGCTCCTATTAAACTTGACACTGAAGATGAATAAGAAGTCTAATTCACCTTTCATGTACCACCACTTCAATGAAGAATAACCCTACACTCTGTAAGCAGACATACATGTCTAAGTGCACATCGTTACAGCCTTTCACATGGAACTTGGTTTTGGCAGAGTGAGGCTGTGCAGGCATGTACTGCCTGAGGATATAGTGGCACGAGAAGGTAAATGCTCTTTTTGGGATGGCATGGCCCTTCTGCAGGCCTCGCTGCACATCCCTGTCAGATGAGGTGGGTGCAGATCTGAGCTAAAGCCACCTCACAGGCAGGGGCAGAGCCCAGGGGGGCTGCGTCTTTCCCAGTGAAACTGCACGCCCTGTGACATCGGGCTTTGGGGCAAGGGCTGACTTTTCCCCTGCTCAGTCCTTGTGCCATCCAAGTGACACGTCACCCTGCCTCTGGGGCTGGTGAAAGTCCAGCCCCTCAGCCAAAAGCAGAGCTCAGAAACACACTGTTCTGCATCGCCTGCTCAGGCACCGCGCACAGCGAGGAGAAGGTTAACGAGGCTGGAACTTCCTGTGCTCAGGGTCACACTTCAGAGTCCCTCTGGCTGAGCATGAACTGCTTTTTCCTCAGTGGTTTTACAGACTCATGGGCAAGCCCCAGCTGAGCCTTGCCATGACAAATACAAACCTCACAAGTCTCCTGCCCTAGAGGCATTCAAATCATATGATGCAACCCAGCTTTTTATATTGATGTCAGGTAGTCAAAAGGAGCCTGATAAATCAAAAATAACCCTGCAAGTAATTTCCAGTCTCAGACCTGTCTCCCCAAAATCCCATGAAAGCACATGAGATACTTCATTTGGAGTGAGGTGATACATCACAGGCTAGGATACTGAGTCTGTTTCACAGCATGCTGCCCATAAGACAACAGTAATTATTACTGGACCTGCAATACATTGGCTTGGGCCAGTAATACAGATGTTTGATAGCTCTGTGCTACAGGAGAGATGCCACTCAATGGGAGACAGAGCATTCTGGAAGTCCTATGAGCTACATATGGAAAATAACACCCTGGGGAAGACCTGTTCACAAGATCATGTAACAAAACGACAAGGGGTAACATTTTTAAGTTATAGAAGGGTATATTTAAGTTGGACTTTAGGAAAAAGCTCATTAATATGAGGGTGGTGGATCACTGGAACAGGTGCCAAGAGAGGTGGTGGGGGCCTCATCACTGGAGACATTCAAGGTGGGGCTTGATGGGGCTCTGAGCAGTCTGTTCTAGTTGGAGATGTCCCTGGAGATGTCCTCTAGTTTGGACTAGAGGAACTTTAGAGGTCCCTTCCAAATCAAAGACATTCAACGATTCTACTTCAGCTACACCCACAAATTAGTTTCCCTTTTGACACCATTGCAATAGCAGCCTATTTGTAATGTTTTATAACTTTCAGGCCTTCAGACCACTTATTACTGCTTCAAACAAAACTTCAGCAGCACAACAACAAGAAAAAATTCTCAACTAGCCTTTTTTTTTTTTTTAGGAGCCTTGGGTAGTGGAAAAAAGCTTTTTCTCTCCAAATTGTTAATGAAGGTTTAAGGAATATATTCAGCCAGCCTGATTTAAACCAAAGTCTACAGAAAGTTACTTGGAAACATTAGGCAGTGACTTCTCAAAATTGAGATCAAGTGAGACCAGGTCTAAGAAAGCATGGCCTAAAAATAAGGTACCAAGGGTCAGGCAGTTGAGCTCAGCTCTCCCATTCATTGTAGCTTTCCTGTATGGCTATGGGTTACTAACATGGCTTGTTTGTGTCTTGGTTCCAGGCAAAGAAAAGTACTTGTTTCTTTTCAATGACTGATGGAAAGGATTAAAGACTGTGAAGCAGTCAAACATTACAGTTGACAAGGGTTTGTATGAAGTCAAAGTGGTGACCTTACCTTCTCTTGCGTGAGGTTTCCAGAGGTAGTGTTTCTGAGCACCAACTTATACTCTGTCGCATACTGCAGGCAAGAAAAAACAAACAAAACTACAATGTTTGCTGATCAGATCAACAATATGATCATATCATCTAGTACTTCACAAGGAGATTACTGTTAGGAAGACTTTTGCTGGAGACCTAAATGCAGAGGCTAACAAACCTGTCCTGTGCAAGAAAAGGCAGTGACAGCAGACACAGCCCCTTCCCCATGTGTCAATAGAGAAGTGCTCTGTGACCCCCTGAGCTGCCAGGTTTAGGCAGCAGATGGGGAATTATCTTTTCCTCCACCCTGTCACACTGGCTCCTACAGAAGGCAAGTGGTGCTTGTGCTGTTTCACTGCTAGAGATGGTGAGGCATGCATTAAAATAGTCAGTAAAATATCTAAAATCTAGGACAACAGTTTACTTTTGATAAATAAACTAGACATCTTGCAAAAGCAGGAATTCCTTGGGCTTGTTTTCTTTAGATATAAAATAGGAGAAATAAAAGCTTATGTATTTGTCAATTACCTGTGACAACAGCAGCAGAGAGAAAAGGACTTCTTTGTTTCATCCCTGAATATACAGAACCCTGACAACTCGAGGCATCACAGAATATCCTTTTCTTAGTGATATTTTTGTACTGTTCCTATTTTTGTTTATGGCATATTGACTTCTACTGTATTATATACATGCTCAAAATGACACTTGATTTTAAGACCTTGTTTTTGATTCAAAAGCAAGCCAACAGAATAACATGAAGGCAAAAAACTATTATTGTGCACCTGTATCATAGAGAATGACTCTGCCCAATAGCAATATTCTCAGCTGTGTCTATCACAACATCTAAAATTAGCAATAAGAACTACATAAAAATCTTCTTGGAGCCCCACAGCTTCTGTCCATCAGTTTAAATTACACTATGTTCTGGTGCCAGTTATTTCCCTACCACACTTAGTCCTCTGTTGGAAGAGAAACCAGGCTGACCAATTAATCCAGCATGGGATACAACGGAAAATGCTGAATAAAAGCATCAGGCAACAGGTAGAGCTTACACCCATGGGAGCCTAAAAGTTGTTGTCTCTTCTGAGCTCAGCTCCAAGCTCCATACCCAAAGGTTTCCTAGTTAGCCCCTGCAAAGCGATAAGCAGTCTGGCACAAAGCACAGTTGCCGTTGCTGCCCGACACGGCACCCAAAGCACAAAATTTTAAAGAACATTTTTGGTGGAGGTACAAAGCATGGGCTACAAATATGCTTTTGTTTGAGGAGTAGTTTTCAAAATCAAACTGTTTGACATGAAAGCTGTATATCTGATTATGTCAAGTGCTTTCAAAATCTCACATACTATAAATAAATTAACCCTCAGTATTTTTTACACCATCTTTCTAGTCTGTTTTCAAAAAAACAGCATCACTTTGTCTGTCTGTAGCTCATGTCCCAAGCCCACATAGTATCTTACCGTTCGGAAAGCTGCAGCAACAAGATTGGCAGGAAACAGGTTTCTGTAAAATACAAACAGAAAATGAAATACTTGTCACAGAACTTCTACAACAAACACACCAAGGTGTTTCACTCTCAGAAACTGAATTCATTTTGCAAAGGCAAGCACGCTGGCAGCAGTGAGGTATGTACTATGGAAGATACTCGAGTAGCTTGGGACAGATGTTTTGCACCTCCAGAGGTGTGAATGCCACCTTCTTCTGCTCGCATAAAAAGGCCCCTTCTTGTCTGCCACACCTCAGCATTTGAGCAGGGACACCAAAGGCAATCACACTATGCTAGTTATACACACCCATTAGCCAGTGGCTACAGAAACTGGCTGGGCCACATCAGCTGCAGCAACAGCTTATGGCCTCCAGGGTCAGGCAGATTTTTAACATTATTCATGCAATTACACTTTGCTCACAGCAATTACACTTTGTCACGAAGGACAATCCAATCAGCAAGATGTACTTAAGAGAATGGCTTAACCTTTCAACACAAACAAGGTCAGCTTCCCTAAACACCAAGGCAGAGCATAAGAATGTCGGGCCAGAGTGGTCTGCAAGGGCTTAAGGAGTTAACCAGCACAGATTGAAGTAGGGGCAACTCATGTGGAAAACTGCAACATCTGAATTCAGTAGTTCCTTCATATAGAAATGCAAATCAAGCATCAGGTCTGTGCAGGGAGGACAGCATGCAAAGTGACCTAGCTTCTGCTGAGCATCCAGTGAGTAGGTGCATCTATGAAGCAACAAGGACAGGAAAAATGGTTAACTGGACCATGTAAGGAAAAAGTTGCTTCTTGCTGGATTTTGTTGGTTTTTTTTAATGCTACACTTCCTTTCTATGCTTATGGTGAGAGAAGAGGACGTGCTCCCCTAGCCAAATGGCAGATTTTTTGCTGTGTCAGAAAGCAAAAGAGGAATAAAAGTTGATCTCTGGGGTCACAACAGGACCCTACCTGACAAGGGCAGGGAGGCTAGAGGTACAAACAGAAAACACTGTCAGCCAAATGCATCGAGGAGACATGGCAATTCTTACAGTAAGGAAACAAAAGACCATACCCAGAGTCAGTTAAGCATGGCACAAAAACACCTGGGTAGCTGCTCTCCATCTTTTGCTCCTTGCACTCCCTCGAGGAAGCTGCAGCTACCCCCAGGCTGTGCCCTCCTAATCTCAACCCAGTTTTTGCCATAGTTACCCTGGCAAACACCATTTAAAACCAGGCTTTCAGTTATGATCAATTCCACGAATGATACGGAAAGCACAAATCAAAACCACTGCAAGAAACAGAGCAGCCGAGCCATATCTTTGAAAGCAAGAGGCAGATTAAGATAGAGCAAAGATAAGGACTCTGGTCTTTTCCGAGTGAGGGTTTTCCCACAGCCTTGACAGCAATGTAAAGTACAGGGACCTTCATCAAACAAGTGGCTGCTGTGAACGGCCTCAACCTCTCTCTCTGTTGCCTTGCTAGAGTATCAGGAGGCAGCTGCAAAAGCCAAATTGCTGCAAGAATAATTTGGCTTCTGGAGTCTACATTCCACCGAGCATGAAAGAAACAGCAAATTTTCTCCTTAAAATTTGACAATACAGCTGTCTGGCTGAAAGTAGGACAGGCAAGCTCGAACTCTGTAAAGATCCTTATGAACTGGTCAAATAAGATCAATGGAGCAGTTAACATGCATCAATGCTTGCACAGCTGGAAGTCTCTGATGGACAAAAACCGCATGTAAAGTAAAAGCAAACTTCATTTTATCAGGAGTAAAACATCACATACACAAACAGGCTCAGCTCAGTGCATCGTTTAAACAAAAAGAGAAAACATGCTGTTGGGAAAATAAAGGTATTTCATTTCAGCTCTTCATAGCAGGATGACTACTTTTTAAAAAAAAGAGAATTGAGTGGATTTTGAAGAAGCAAAGAGATGAAAAAAAGACTGAAAACCAACCAGAAATCAAATTACTTTTTTTTTTTTTTTTTAAATCAGCTTTTCCATCCTGACAAAACAAAACCAAAGGAAGCAATCCTAAAGCCTAAACAACATGTTTCTTCAACGTTTAAATGTGGCTGAGAAACCAAGCCCTCCATAATTTACACAGCATGTCAGGCATGGGCCTCAGTAATTAAACACGAACTCAACTCCAAGCATATACTTAAAGCTCATACTCGAGTGATGCCAGCAACCCTGCTACAGCAAAGCAAGGGGCTGGTTCTCGCTTCAAGTGTGAATAGCACTAAGGCCATTCAAATGCAAGCACACAGCGGTTCATTCTTCTTTCTCCCTGGAGCACCAGTCGCAGGACTCAACCCTGAGGACAGGGAAGAGCCCTTCTCACAATTTACCAAGTAAAACATTTGGACCTCAGTTCAGCAGCTCAGAAGGAACTGTGTGTTTTATACAAGCCAACTTTGAAGGCTGTGAAGTCGTAACATGCAAAAAAACCCCAAACGTTTTGCCCCTCTTTGTTTCAAATCCTGAAGTCTAAGAACATGTTGGGTCATAAAAAGGAATCAAGAAATAAATGGCCTATTTTAAAGGCACGAGTTCTGCACAGACTCATCGTTAACTAAGATCAGCCAGCAGGCAAATTAAATTAGGCTTTAATTATGGGTGGGTCAGACTGCAGGTTTATACCTTAAGATGGATTTGTGCAAGAACATCATCCCAGTGTTTTAAAAAAAAAAAAAAAAAAAAAAGAAGCAGCAGCAGCAGGGATGCTGTGAGCTCCATGGAGAGCCAAAAAGCAGCTGGTGACCTGCCTGGGCTCATCATGTGCTTCTGCCTGCAGGCTTTCCTCACCGAGCACAGCGAGGCAAAGTTCACCCACCACAAAAAATCCAGACCCAGCTGTCTCCGTGCAAGCCAACATTTGCCATGTCCCCAAGCCCAAGTGTAGGAGTTGTACAGGGAAGCAGAAGCATCCCTCCTGTCCAGGTGAACCAGTGAACAGGAAAGATGATGAGCTGGGTATCTGGGCATGCAACTTAAACATGGGAGTCTGCCAGTCAGTTTTTCCATGTGGCCCATATCTTTAGAAGGTTTGTTTTACTTTGGAAGTCCATACCAGATGTGAACATGGAGTTTAAAGAAATCACCACACTTTTATCACTGGATTGGTGATTCTTCCTGCTGTTTCCAATGGCCCCATTGCTGCCACTTCTATGACCTGTGCCAGAGAACACGGTTGTCTTTTCAAAGCAGATGTGGGCTATTGCAAGAACATGCTGAGGAGAACCTGAGGCTGGGTGATAAGGAACCTGCCCCAGGGTTCTGGCATCAGGCAGCCTTGGCTCTCAGTTGCAGAGAGATGAAACTGCTCTATGTGGGAAGAATGAGACAAGCCAGCAATGTGTAACATTGCAGCAGAGGGACAGACATGCTGCAGACACCCCTGGTTCTCCACTGCTCTGCAGAGGGATGGAGCACCCGTGCACAGCCACAGCCACCTTTGGGGCACAAAGGCAAAAGAGGTGAGGTACAGGGAAACTTTACTGCCCTCACCAAGCATCGGGCAGGAAAGTCTCTCTCTGCCTGTTGCAAGCTGTGCAGACAACCTCCCCCCCCAAAAAAAAAATAAAAATCAGAAAACCACCAGACAGCTGTCAAGAGTGACAGCTGTGCCCTGGGGCTGGAGTGGCAGCTGGGCTGAGCCACGGAACCTCCACATGTCTGCACACCGCACAGTGTGAGAAAGCACCCATCTCAGGTCCTCTTAAAACAGGAACCAGAAACGGCAGCATCAAGGGTGGGAGTTTCAAGGTCTGAATACTTTTTGCTTGAATACTGTGCTCATCACACCCCCATGCACTGCTTTGTAAATGCAGCTCTTTCCTTTTCTCCGGTGAAAAGCTGCTCCGACCAGTAAAGAAGGGACCATTACTCCTCCAACCAAATTTAGCAGGAAGGTCTCACTGGAATCAGTTCAGCTGCAGCATCTGCTACTGGAAATCATAGATACATATATAACTAAGGGAACCTGAAGCTGTAAAGGGAGGAAAAAGGGGCTGTAGCTCCCAGTCTTCTCAATTTTGATATTATGAGCAAATTCCTCTCTGCCTTACCCTGTATCTTTGCACCAGCGGGATAAGGAAGGTGCAAGAACTCCTTCATTACATGTGTTAAGGGATTACTATTAATAACTGCTTCTAAACGATTATTTTGCTAGAGATCTGCACACAACTTTGCTTTGCCAGCAAAAGCATGAAGGGAAATTCAGGCAAGCAGAACGAAACCCTAAAATACTACTCATTCCTCTTGCATTGCTTCTTACAAAAAGGTTCCACTGCTGAGGCCAAAAACTTGGATGTTGGAAAACATATTTTTGTGAGGAAGCCTAGAAAAAATACTCTGTGTTGCGTTATCTCCTGTTTGTTTTTTTTCAATGAAGTGTTTTCAATGGCAGGAGTCCCCTGAGAGCAACTTTACTGCCATCTGTGGCAACCTGCCACAGCCCAGTTTGGATTGCTCCAGTACCTTTATTTTTCTTTCTGTCCCAAGATTTTCATTCAGGATCACACAACCATTTTTCTCATTTGCTTTTTGACATGTATGTGGATGCACTATATATGCCCTGGACAGATACATATTTATGAGTTTGCTTTAACACAGGGAAATCTGAAAATGCATTTACTAATAGCAGATATTGGGTACTTTCCTGCCTTAATGGTCCACACTGCATTTTTGTTCTTTGGAAAATAAAATTTAACTGGGGGGAGTCAGTAGTAAAAGTTAATGAATATAAAGAACAGAAGAAAGGAGCAGAAGTGTTCAGAGGCTTCCAAAAAAGAAAAAAAAAAAGGCCACCAGACAGTGTAGGTACATGAACGAAAATGTTGAGTTCTTCCTACAAACATCTGTCAGCAATCCCTATAGTTCAAGAGAGGATCCAGGCTCAGAGAATGACAGAAGCAAGGAGGACAGTAACATTTACTGCTTCCCTTTTTTTTATGAGGGCACCCCAGATTTGAAAGCAGGACATCCAGCTATAAAACCTGGGTTGGTGCAACTGCAGCTGT